CTTTACCTTTACCTTTACCTTTACCTTTACCTTTACCTTTACCTTTACCTTTGCCTCCTCCTCCTCCTCCTCCTCCTCCTCCTCCTCCTCTCCTAAATGTGGTAGTGGTGGTGGGCAGTGGGCCCCTCTCCCGCGGCGCCCGCAAGCCGAGAGCGCCGCGTGGGGCCACTCCGAGGCCTGGTGGCACGTCGCGCCCGCGTGGAAGCGGGGGGGGAGGGGCGACGGCGGGGGCGAACCTTGTGGAAGTCGACTAATGGAGAGGAAGCATGCTGCCAAACAGTTACCAGATGTCTAAAACATGTTTCACATATGTTTTAACTAGGTTAATCTGGTTTGAAACGTTGTTTATAACATGTTTTACACATGTTAAACACATGTTTAATTCAATGCTAAGATTGTCAGAGTGTCCATTGTCCTGGCATCCACAAGGCAAGCCCCTGCCCCGGCCTGGGAGGCCGGTGGCGTGCCGTGGCATCTTCTCGCTGTGATGGACTCCGGCATGTCCCTCTACAGGAGGAATATTCGAGATAGTAAAAGAGCCAGTGTGGGCACCAACAACTATAGCCAGTTATTTTGGGTATCATTATATTTTAGTTTTTCCCCAAAATCCGCCCGTGGGAAGTCCTGCCCGACCCAGCGGTGTGAGAAGAAATCGCTCGAGTAGAATATTGACCTCGTAAGGATTGCTTTACTGCGAGATTGATTCCCTCGTCGGATCTACAAGGCAGGTGTGTAGACTGCTCGTGGAGATCGACTGCGTAACTGATTTACCCCGAAATGGATTTCCTCGTCGGATCCGCGGGACAAGTACGTAGAATCCTCGTACAGATCCACTAAAGAACTGATTCACCCCCAGATTGGTTTGCTCGTCGAATCTACGAGAGAAGCGCGTCCACTCTTCGTAGAATTGCCAACGTTTTGGGGCGGGTCCATTATGCAGTCGATCTCCTACTCGAATCACGGCGGGCAGTTTCTGCGCGTTTTCGGCCTCTTGGGGTCCTCGTTGGGCCCCAAGACCATCGTGAAACGGTGCAGGATGACAAGCCAGTCCTGGGGAAGGGGGTCCAGACCTCGGGGGGGCCGCGTTGTGGTGGCCCGGCTGGGGAAGGCGGCGGCATAATCCCTTTTGGCGCGACCGAGTCGAAGAAGAAATTGCTCCAGCAGAGCGCGCGAATGGCAGCGCACGTGAAGAGGCGTGTCGAGGAGTTGGAGGTCGGCCAGTGGTACCGTGCGCGCTCCTGGGTCCTCCCAGGAGGCGCGCGAAGTGCGGTGGGGTGCCCCCTTTTGCGCCAGAGGCGCGCGCGGGAGTGAAATTCTGGCAACACGAAGAGCCGAAAGTGCGGCATTTTTCGTGAACATCGTACGCGGGCGTGGAGTTCCGGCACCACGAAGAGCAGGAATAACACGGGGAGCACGGCCATGTGCACCTCAGTATGCTTCTTGCAAGGGATCGTGGCTGTCCGGGCCAAGCATGTAGTCGGCATCTCGTATGCAGACAGGTTTCTGTTACACTTGGGCGTGGCTCCCGAGGCTCCCTTTGGGTGCAGAGCTCCCTCCACTGCTGGGGCGAAAGCCATGGCCTTAAGTCGGGCGTGTCCCTGTACAGGAGGAATCTCCAAGCATAGTAAAACAACCCTGGAGACGATTTTGCGCTAAAAACAAGAAGTAGATGAGAAACGAGGTAGCGGGGAGCGAACTCGGCGGGTGCACTTGCACGCGTGCTGCCACAGCCATTTCCTGCTCAGGTAAGTGTAGGGCGTGGGTGTACCCCAATCGTGCGCAAGCTCGGCAAGCTTGCCATGGCCGGGCCTTGGCTCGGAGTCGATTATGACGCGGACTACTTGGCCTCAGCCGCGTGGTCTGCGGGGGGCGTCGTCGAGGCAGACGGCTTCAAATTCGACGGCGACCCGCAGGGGAAGATTATCTTCGTCGTCGTTGGTGACAGGGATCGCCCTCGCGAGTATGAGGGTTGCCTGGTGGGCGTCGAGGACGACTTCTACTCGTGGTGGGCCGTCGAGTCGGGCGAGTGCGACGACCCAGGCCTGTGCAAGATGACCATGAGCAAACGCGAGAAGGGCAAGAAGGTCGCGGGCCGCTATGTCAACGCGGTCCCGCGCTGGCGCGTGCTGGGGTCTGGGCGCGTCCCAGACCTAGCGCCGGCGGCCTGGCTGCGGCGCGGGCTCCGGAAGATCGTCGAGGAGCGGATCGTCACGGCGCTCGCGGGTGAAAAGCTCCCGCCTATGTCTCCACCGCGGTCGCCGCCGCCTGCCAGGGGTGCGGGAGGCGGGGCCGATGGCGCCTGGCGGCCGCGGCTGGTTGGCGGGGGCCGCCGAGAAGGACGGGGCGAAGAAGAAGGACGAGGAGGAAGAGGCGTGGCTGGCGAGCTGGAGGAGTTGAGGAGGAGCGTCGAGCAGGAGAGAGCCGACAGGGCGCAGAGAGGCGGACGGAGGAGCAGCAGAGAGGAGGAGAACCGCAGGGGCCGCAAGAGGTCACGTGAGGACGAGCGCGAGAGGCAGAAGGCGCCGGTGACCATCGCCGGAACGAGGCGCTGGACGAGGTGCCCGCCACGGGACGGCCCAGCCCAGCAACAGAGAGTGGCTGGATCGGCGAAGCGAGCGACATCGCAACGCCGACCGGAGGGCTGCGTCTGAGCCCCGGCGTCGTTCTCGTTCACGGGCGCGGCGCCGCTCGAGGTCTCGCTCTCGTTGGAAGTCTCGCTCGCGGTCGTGGTCAGTTTTTGGCGGCGCCTCGTCGTCCACGAGCCGGAGCTCCCAGGCCCGGCTCATGTCCTGGGCGCAGCGGCACTCAGGAGAGCTCGCCGCGCGTCTTCTCCAGCAGATGGAGGACCGGGTGGGCAGGGGCGGCGACGCGGGCTCCTGGGCCAAGGGCGACATGCCGGCGGCGGCCAAGAGCTACTACATCCGCGTGCTGCGTGTAGCGCACGCGTCCGGAGGGCTGCGCAACCTCCGCGAGATGGCCACTCTGTGCCGCATCCTGGACCACGTCGCGAAGAAGCGGTACATGGCCGCGGCGGGCGTCGCGGGCCAGAGGCTCAAGGCGGTCGAGACGGCGATCGTGGACGGCAACTGGGACCGCGCTCAGTTTCTCGAGCTCGTGGAGCAGGAGGGCCCTCTCTTGGCGGAGCAGTCGGAGCGGCAGATGTCCTCCCAGGAGCTAGCCTTCAAGCAGAGGTTGGCTGGGAAGGGCAGCTGGCTGCCCTCCGGCTCAGGCTGGGCTCTGCCGGCGCAGGCTACGGCAGCGGCAGCAAAGGGAGTGGCCAAAAAGGGAAGGACAAGAGCAAGGAGAACGGCAAAGGGAAGGGCGGCAAGGGCCAGCCCGACAGGTCGAATTTACCCCCTCTTTAGGGGTGTTCGCCGGGGCCGGAGGCCAGGGCCGTGCCGAGCAGGCGCGGCTTCGGGGGGCGGTTGCCGCCCCTCCCGGTAGGGGTGCCCCTTCCTTCGGGGCGCCGGCGCGCTGGCCAGGCGGCCGCATGAGGGACTACCAGGAGAAGGATTGCGATTGCGAGGACGGCCAGGGCACGGAGGAGGTCATGGAGGCGTGCGACGAGGAGGACTACGACTACGAGGACGGCCAGGAGACGGACGAGGTCAAGGAGGCGTACCACGAGGAGGATTACATGTACGAGGACGGCCAGGAGACGGAGGAGGTCAAGGAGGTGTACCACGAGGAGGGCTACAACTACGAGGACTGCCAGAGGACGGGGGAGGTCAACGAGGAGTACCAGGAGAAACACTACGATTACGAGGGCGGCGAGGAGACGGATAAGGTGGAGGAGAGCGATTCTGGCGTGGAGGTCAATGCGGTGCCCAGCTTGGCCTTGAGGCGCGCCCGCGTCTGCGCCCTCCGGGCTGCCTTTGGCGCCCGCTTCCGGGGCGCTTCGGGTCTGGCCGGTTGGCAGGCGGCTGTGCGCTCTTGCACTGCCTCCTGCACGGCGTTCGCAGACCTCGGGTTGGTCCTCCGGGCGGCGGCCGAGAGCTCTCCCTCGCGGATCGCTGCTGTCGCGGCGTTGGTCCGTTCCGGCACCCACGCTCTCGGCATTGCGCCGGGTGCGCGAGGCCATGGGCTCCCGCCGATTCCGCCCGAGGCAGCCGAGGAGGCGTTCAAGCGCATGGCTGTGGAGAAGAGTTTGGGCGAGGACGTCATCTTCGTGGATTGGGGGATCGCTATCGTGCTGGTCCTGAACTTCTTCCACTGCGCTGGTTGGAGCCGGAGGCCTTTGTGCACCCGCGCTGCGCCGACCCTGGAGGCGGCGCAGAAGAAGACCGTGGCCCGCATCGGGGAGAGCGCGGGCTACATCATGGAGGAGCTGACGAAGCCGGTGTGCATGCACGAGGCGTTGGAGGATTTGACTTCGAGGAGGAGGGACCTGGAGTGCGATTTGGTCGTCCCTGCTTGGCCTTCTGCGGAGCATGCCGGCGTGCTCCCGATCGAGGAGTTCGTTCGAGGAGAGCAGCGGGAAGACCTCCTTGATGTGAAGGGGTGCCTCCTCCCCGCTTCCGAGTTGCCAGAGGTCGCGCCAAGGTCCTCTGTGCATGCTACGGTCGAGGAGTGGTACCGCATCGTGCAGGTGGGGTTGCAGAGGGGGATCTTCCAGGAGGTCGCCGAGCAGGACATCCTGCGTGATGGGCGCGGGGAGCTCGTGCTCAATGGCGCGATGGGGGTGGGCAGATGGATGGTCATCTACGGGGTGCGGACGCGCCTACTCCGGTTCATCGCCATCCTCGTTCCCTCGAACGCCTTCCTACGGCGTCTTCGGGAAGGGAGCGGGGGCCTCCCTTGCTTGGGGCAGCTTTCTCTGGTCGAGTTGGGGCCCGACGAGGATATGTGGATCGACTTAGAGGACATGGAGAGCTGCTTTAACCTCTTCCGCATGCCGCCAGGTTGGCTCGGCGTCTTCGCGTTTGCTAAGAAGGTGCCCCGGAGCATCGTGGGGGGGCCCTAGCACAGAGCACATGTATGTTGGGATCCGTACTGTGCCGATGGATTGGGTAGGCGCCGTGGACGTCGTGCAGCACATGGCGCGGGCCCTCGTGTTCAAGACGTGCGGGGTCGGCATGGAGTCCGAGCTCCATGAGGCGCGCGTCCTTCCACCTGGGCCAGACTTTACGGTGGTTTGCATGGGCGGGGTAGACCCTCCGGAAGGCGTCGGCAGCGCATCGACATGCAGGAGGCCCGGGCGAGTCGGAGGGGCGCCGTCGCTTCGTCGAGGCGTGCGCGCAGATGAACCTCCCCCTTAACGCGGGCAAGAGCGTTGTCGCGTCGGTGCACGGCGCGTTGTTCGGCGGCGAAGTCGACGGCATTCGCGGTTGGCTGTCGCACTCGAGGGAGGTATGCGGGTCGCTGGTTGCCAAAGCGGCGGCGCTATTAGGCATGCCAGTCTGGCGCAGCGGGCCGCTTCAACACTGGATCGGCTGTTTCTGCTTCGGCGCCTCGTTCCGCAGGCCTCTCTTTGCCGTGCTGCAGGATGCTTTTTCTTTCGCCGCTGCGGTAGAGAACGAGGCGAGCGCCCCGGATGTGTCGCGCGGCGACGAGATCTTGGGAGCGGCTATTCTGGCGCCGCTCATGTTCACGAACCTGCGGGCCCCCGTCCGCGCCGCGGTCAGCTGCAGCGATGCGTCCGAGGCCGGCGGGGGCGCCGCCGAGGCCACCGACTTCGTAGACTCCCTCGGGCGCGAGTTCGAGTGCCAGGCCGAAGCCCTCGTAGCCAAGAGGGCGGAGGAGTCGGCCTGGGCCGACGCGGGCGTGTTCGAGGGGCGCTGCGTGATGGGCTGCGCCGGCGGATCCGCCGCGCAGGTAGCCGCGCGCCACTTTAGGCGCGGGCGCCATGCGTGCAGCTTGGATTCCCTCTTGAGGCATGCGTGCGGGCAGCATGCGGTCAGAAGTGCATTCGTGGAGGTGTGCTCTGCGCATGGCTCTCCAGAACTTTCCTGGGCCGTTGCGCGTCGTGCGGTCTACGTGCTGCCCCCGACGCAGCCGGGCCGCGTCCCCGAGGCAGCTTGGGCCCACTGGTCTGGCATTGTGGCGTGGACTCATGAGGCCCAGGCTCAGGCGTGGAGGCCCGCGAGCTCACGGCGCGCCGTCCGGGGCCGTGCGCGCCCGCTCGGGCTTCCCCATCTGCCGCATAGATTACAAGCCGTCGTGAGCAAGGGCACCCGCGAGGCAATGACTGCCTCGCGATCAATCGAGTCGCAACTCTGCAACTGCAGAGTTGGATCCTTCATGCACCTCGTCGACAGCTTTATCTGGCACCTTCCCCTCGCGCGGACGCTCCTGAGCTTCCCGGGGGTGTCCTTGGACCCAGTGCGTGGTGACGCTACTGTGGACCTCCGTGTCTTGCACTGCTCCCAGGCGCTGCACCAGAAGATCCTCGCAGGCGGAGTCGACCAACAGGTGGATTGGCGCACGCTGCTGGCAGCGGCTGTCCATGAAGATCTTGCCAGGGCAGATGCGGCGGCAATTCCAGCGGCGACATCCTTGGGGGAAGGCTGGGCGCGGGCAGCGCTCGGGTCGAGCACGGCTCGATTGCGGCTCTCGGCCGAGATGGGCCTTGCAGCGGCTGCAATTTCGGGTCAGTTGGCCAGCGTGCGACAAGGTGTCGAAATGGAGCACCTGCGAGGCTTGCTACGGAATGCCGACTACAAAGGTTCTGACGTGCGCCTGGTCACGGGGGAGCTGGTTGATGGCTGCCGGCAGGAACTTCCTTACCCGGCCAGCGCATGGAATTGGCGTGCCGTCCAAGCTTATCCTTGGCAGCAGAATCATCATATAAATGTTCTTGAATTCGTTGCAGACCTGACGTGCTTGCGATTTTCATCTGGTTCGGCCGTGTTCCACGGCGTTCGGTATTTCCACATCCTCGACAGCAAAGTGATCGCCTGCGTGGTCGCCAAAGGAAGGAGCAGTTCTCGGGTCCTCAACCGAGTATGCAGGAGGCATTTGGCCGTTACCTTGGCAACCGGCACCTACGTGCTCACCCTCTGGACCATCAGTCAATGGAACTTCGCTGATGCAGCCAGTCGGCTGCATGTACAAGACCATGGGTAAAGGGTTCTCTGAAGGTGCCCCAGTCCAGGGTGAAGCACTTGAATACGCAGGCATCACACAGAAGACGTTGGATTCATACCGCAAGTAAGTCAGGTTATTTTTTCGTTATTTGCACGGTTTCAGAATTTGTTTCCCTTCTTCTCTCGACCGGCTGGACGCCGAGGCCGCCGAGTATGTCAACCACGTGTGCCAGGAGGGGGAGCCGCGCGGCTACGCCGCCACATTCGTGTCGGGCCTCAAGCGGTTGTACCCGAAGTGCCGCAAGCGTCTCGACATTGCAACCCAGTATTGCAAGAATTGGACAAATACTTTGCGCAGGAAGCGTGCAATGCCACTGCCCGCCAATGTCGTCGTGGGTATGGCGGGTATGGCCTACGCCTTCGGGGAGGACTGGATTGGCATCTCCTTCCTCGTCGGCTTTTTCGGCCTCTTGCGCACGGGCGAGTTGCTTGGCCTGACGGTGGGCCACATCAAGGTTGTCAGTCCTCAATTGTGCATTGTTTCATTTCCAGGGTCAAAGGGCTCACATCAGAAAGGCTTCGACGTGACCTTCCTTATTATCCACGACCCCTCTGTTGCTTGTCTCCTGCAGGAGGTGGTCAAGCATCTACGAGAAGGCGAGCGGCTCTTCCCTGGTTCATTCCGCGACCTGGACCAGGCCATCCGCAGGTGCGCAGCTATTTCGGCATCGAGGACCGCTCGTTGACGCCGTACTGCCTCCGGCGCGGAAGCGCGACCTGGCATTTTTCAAAGTATGCGTCCATGGACGCCACGCAGTCTTTTGGACGTTGGGAGCACGCATCCACAGCCAAGGGCTACATCAACCAGGCTGTGGCCGACAGCGTTGCGGTTTCGCTCGATCCAGGCGGACGGGCACGTGCTGAACGATGCGCGCGCGTCTTGTCAAGGCTCGCGTTCTCCTCCCCCTCCCGCCCCTGAGGGGTCCGTGGCAGGGAGTCTGTGCGAGGGGTGCCCCGAGCACAGCTGGTGGGGGGGATGGCTGAGGGTCGCGCCGGTAGGCTTCTTGAGGCCATGCTCGGGGCTTCGGGGGCTCTTGAGCCCGCCAGTCCCCCGTCGCACAGGGACGCCGCGTGGCTCCCGCAGGCTTGCGTCCTCTTGAGGCGGAGCCTCGTGCAGCAACGGTCCGCCTTGGACGTGTAGTCCGAGGGAGCCGCGTGGCTGGGCGTCCTGACGTCTAGGCCGGCCGACGCGCAGCCGTACTGAGCACGGCTGTTGGGCATGGGCCCAGCGTCGTGCGTCCTGGCCTGGTTCTCAGCGCCGTGAGCGGCGGCTCATGCGCACAGACCCTCTCATGAGTGACGTGTGTGCTGGAACTGTGGTGGAGAAGGAAGCACGCAGCATGCAAGTGTTGAGAAACGAGGCAGCGGGGAGCGAACTCGGCGGGTACACTTGCACGCGTGCTGCCACAGCCATTTCCTGCTCCACCTCCCTCCCCGCCTCCTGAGGCCGGGGCCGCCGGGGCGGACCTCTTGAGGTCGTCAGCGGCGCGGAACGCATGGGTTGCTTTCTTGAAGCTCCATGTGACGACAAGCCTCTTGAGGCACAGCCATGTGGCCCGTGGATCGAAGCTATCGGCCACGCGGCCGGGACACGGCAAAGCACAGTGTCATTTTCTGGCCGGCTGAGGGTCGCGCCGGTAGGCTTCTTGAGGCCATGCTCGGGGCTTCGGGGGCTCTTGAGCCCGCCAGTCCCCCGTCGCACAGGGACGCCGCGTGGCTCCCGCAGGCTTGCGTCCTCTTGAGGCGGAGCCTCGTACAGCAGCGGTCCGCCTTGGACGTGTAGTCCGAAGGAGCCGCGTGGCTGGGCGTCCTGACGTCCAGGCCGGCCGACGCGCAGCCGTACTGAGCACGGCTGTTGGGCATGGGCCCAGCGTCGTGCGTCCTGGCCTGGGTCTCAGCGCCGTGAGCGGCGGCTGATGCGCACAGACCCTCTCATGAGTGACGTGTGTGCTGGAACTGTGGTGGAAAAGGAAGCACGCAGCATGCAAGTGTAGGACAAATAATAATAGTAGCACGTAGTAATGATATGAATCATATTTTTGACATATTTTATTATTATTGTTATTGTTGTTGTTGTTGCTTTTCGTATCGCTATCATTATCATTATCATCATTATCATCATTATTATCATACGATTAAGCATGCTTATCACTATTAATATTACTGCTATGCTTACATTTGTTCATTCTTTTAGTATTATTACTATCATCGTTATTCAGATGATTATCATTTTTATTATTCTCATCATTATGATGATGATGCTGCTGCTGATGATGATGATGATGATTGATGCTGATGCTGAGCATGATGATGATGCTGATGATTATGATGATGATGATGATGATGATGCTAATGATGATGATGATGATGATGATGATGATGATGGTGATGATGATGATGATGATTATCATTATTATTATTATCATGATTATTGTTATTATTATTATTATTATCATTATTACTATTACTATTATTATTATTATTATTAGTATTTTTATTATTATTATTATTACTATGACTATTATTATTATCATTATTGTGGAGCATTTTTTTTTTCAGTTATCATCCAAAATCCGCCTACAGGAGGATATGCCCGACCTGTCATTACGTTTCCGGGACCGCGGCTGATGTCGGCCGACCCATGCAGCAGGTCCCCGTCTTGCCACACTGGCCCAGGGTGGCCCCAGCTCTTCCATGGAGGCGCAGGGCTAAGTCGGGCACGTCCCTCTACAGGAGGAATATTCAATTATCCTGGCGAAAGACCCAACCATAAGCAATTGTTGGTAACGCGTTGTGGGTGCCGCTTTCGGTGGGGCTCCATATGGGGCCACGAAGCGCTGCCTTGGATGGGGGAACCGCACGCGGACTGCGCCACCGGGGCGGGCCTTCGGTGGAGCTCCCTATGGGGCTACGAAACGCTGCCCTGGGTGGGGGAACCGCATGCGAACTGCGCCACTGGGGCCTTCGGTGGAGCTCCCTATGGTGCCGCGAAACGCTGCCCTGGGTGGGGGAAGCGCATGCGAACTGCGCCACGGGGGCTTTCGGTGGAGCTCCCCATGGGGCCACGAAGCGCTGCCCTGGGTGGGGGAACCGCATGCGAGAGCAGCCACTGGGGCCTCCGGTGGAGCTCCCTATGGGGCCACGAAACGCTGCCCTGGGTGGGGGAACCGCATGCGAGACACCCCCACTGGGGCCTTCGGTGGAGCTCCCTATGGGGCTACGAAGCGCTGCCCTGGGTGGGGGAACCGCATGCGAACACCCCCACTGGGGCCTTCGGTGGAGCTCCCTATGGGGCCACGAAACGCTGCCCTGGGTGGGGGAACCGCATGCGAACACCCCCACTGGGGCCTTCGGTGGAGCTCCCTATGGGGCCACGAAACGCTGCCCTGGGTGGGGGAACCGCATGCGAACACCCCCACTGGGGCCTTCGGTGGAGCTCCCTATGGGGCTACGAAACGCTGCCCTGGGTGGGGGAACCGCATGCGAACACCCCCACTGGGGCCTTCGGTGGAGCTCCCTATGGGGCCACGAAACGCTGCCCTGGGTGGGGGAACCGCATGCGAACACCCCCACTGGGGCCTTCGGTGGAGCTCCCTATGGGGCTACGAAACGCTGCCCTGGGTGGGGGAACCGCATGCGAACACCCCCACTGGGGCCTTCGGTGGAGCTCCCTATGGGGCTACGAAACGCTGCCCTGGGTGGGGGAACCGCATGCGAACACCCCCACTGGGGCCTTCGGTGGAGCTCCCTATGGGGCCACGAAACGCTGCCCTGGGTGGGGGAACCGCATGCGAACACCCCCACTGGGGCCTTCGGTGGAGCTCCCTATGGGGCTACGAAACGCTGCCCTGGGTGGGGGAACCGCATGCGAACACCCCCACTGGGGCCTTCGGTGGAGCTCCCTATGGGGCCACGAAACGCTGCCCTGGGGAACCGCATGCGAACACCCCCACTGGGGCCTTCGGTGGAGCTCCCTATGGGGCCACGAAACGCTGCCCTGGGTGGGGGAACCGCATGCGAACACCCCCACTGGGGCCTTCGGTGGAGCTCCCTATGGGGCTACGAAACGCTGCCCTGGGTGGGGGAACCGCATGCGAACACCCCCACTGGGGCCTTCGGTGGAGCTCCCTATGGGGCCACGAAGCGCTGCCCTGGGTGGGGAACCGCATGCGAACACCCCCACTGGGGCCTTCGGTGGAGCTCCCTATGGGGCTACGAAACGCTGCCCTGGGTGGGGGAACCGCATGCGAACACCCCCACTGGGGCCTTCGGTGGAGCTCCCTATGGGGCCACGAAACGTGTGAGGGGTGTGCCGAGATGGGTGGTGGGGAGGCATGCGAACCCTGGAGGGAGGAGGGCGAGGAGGAGGAGGAACGCGGGGCACCGTCTCTTCAAAACGAGGACCCAACACCACAGGATGGTTGGGAACTCAGTAGAAAACACTCATTTTTGAATATTTGTTTTGCTTATTTTTGATGATGTTTGAGTTTTTTTTGGAGTATTTTTTGATTTTTCGTCCAAAATCCGCCTGCAGGAGGACACGCCCGACCCCAGCGCAGGGTGGCCTCCCGAGCGCCGCTCACGAGGCACAGAGGTCTTCCCGTGGGGCTCCGGCACGGCGCCCTGAGGCCAGGGCCGATCGCCTTCGGCAGCCTTTGGGTGCGGCCGCCTCCCCCTGCTCCTCCCCCTCCTCCTCCTCCTCCTCCTGCTTCTCCTCCTCCTCCTCCTCCTCCTGCTTCTCCTCCTCCTGCTTCTCCTCCTCCTCCTCCTCCTCCTCCTCCTCCTGCTCCCCCTCCCCCTGCTCCTCCTTCTCCTCCAACTCTCTCCTCCTCCTCCTCCTCCTCCTCCTCCTCCTCCATCATCATCATCATCATCATCATCATCATCATCATCATCATCATCATCATCATCATCATCATCAGCATCAGCATCAGCATCAGCATCAGCATCATCATCATCAGCATCAGCATCAGCATTATCATCATCATCATCATCATCATCATCATCATCATCATCATCATCATCGTCATCGTCATCGTCATCGTCATCGTCATCGTCATCGTCATCGTTATCGTTATCGTTATCGTCATCATCATCATCATCATCATCATCATCATCATCATCATCATCATCATCATCATCTCCACGTTTCGGGCCCCCTGGGCACTCGCGGGTCGGTCCGGCTCGAGAAAGCACCCGCGTGAAGATCGGCCAAGAGGATTTTGGTCCTGTTCTTTCGCGACGTCGTGATGTCTTCATGGCCTCGGATCTCGTCGGGCGACGAGATCTGCACACATCTATGTGTAGATCTTGTCGCCCTGTCTTAGGGAGCGGCGCCCGCTCATCCTCCCCTCGACCAGCTTTGGCGTGCGGCTCCAGACGCACGGGCCTCAATGCAGGCACACCACCGCACCCTAAGCTCGAAGAAGGCAAATTCTCACAAAAGCATATACTT